GTGGGGAAATGGCCACAATCGTGCTGGTGGGGGAAGATGGCCGAGATCGCGCCTGCATGAGCACAACCATGATCTTGGCCATCTCCCCCCACCAGCACGAGCGCGCCCATGATCGCTCCCCTCTCTCCTAGCCCATCTCCTCCCCCTCCCAGCGCACCGGAATGACAGGTGTGTGCAGGGATGACGGGTGCCATCTTGGTTGTGCTGGGGGGCAGGGAGATGGCCGCGCTCGTGCTCATGGTGTGTGTGTGGGGGAGGGAGATGGCCGTGATCTTTGTTGTTCTTTGTCACTTTGTTTCACATTTTTCTGATTAAAAAAAAGTAGTTACAGAACAGATTAACCTTATTTACATTGAATCTTATGGGGAAATTTAACTTGGCTCACGCCAATTTGGGTCACGACCAGAGTCCTGGAACGGATTAAGTTTGTGAGCCAAAGTGCCACTGTACCAAGATGGTTTAAAGATATAGGTGGGACCATCTCAAGTGTTTCTGCAAGGAAGCAGCAAATATAATTTACACATTTGGCAGCATATGATCAGATCCATATGTCATCTGCTTTTAGCAATCTAGTATCTTACTATAACTGTCTTAGTTGTTTGAAATTTTACATATAATGGCACAGTTGAATGGGTTGCATTCAGCCTCCAGCATCTTCCATCTTGCACTGAGTGTATCCAGTGACCTGGTGGGCTAAAACTGGCAGGGCAGTAGAATGGCAGAGGTAAACCTCACCTTCCCATCTTCCAGTTATTGCATTTTTTCATTAGGCTTTTTTTCTGTCTAGTGATGGCACTACAGAGGGGGAAGACAGCTTGTATCCTGGCCTCTTCAGTCTCTTTCCCTTCCTGCCCATTTGAGCACCTCTTTCCCTCACATTTTGACATTGCTTTTCTGACTGTGGAAGCTAGCCCATGTCGTTCCTTCAGTGATGGCTTTGAAGAGTTAGGACTGATGAAGTTGGATCTCTGATTTCCCTTTCTGAGGTCATAATACTGTATCTGACCTTGGAGTGGGGAATGCCCACTATCCTATGGCCCCTCAACCAATGTCTGGGAGCCATAGGATTGCCACCTAATACAGTGTCCACACGATATTATAATCTGCCATGGGCTATTAATTTAACTCACAGGTTGCAGCACATGTGGAATGTGTATGGCCACTGTTTTGGAAATGCAACCCAAGTTGGGTTCTTGTGACGTGCAAACTCAAGCGCGTAGGCAACCCAAGAGCTAACCCTTCTCATAACCCATGACCTGTTTTAGAGTTATGCATGACATGGCCACTCCCAGAGTCAAAATGCAAGCTGGGCTCCATGGGCATGCCACATCTCTGAACAGGTTCATGGGTTTCCCCCTGCACATGGGAGGGCTTCTTCCATTAGTGAAAAGAATTGGATGCAATAGAGCAGTGGTGGCAAATCCTATGGCATAGAAGCCAAGTCTCCCCAGCATCGGGTAACAGCGCACATAGGGGCCATGTGCATGCTCAGAGTAGCAGCACCAGGAGATGACATCATGAGCCGTGACTCATTAGCCGTGACATGTCTGAGCTTTCACAGCTCAGACATGTCTGAGCTGAACTGAACTAAAACCTCAGTTTTCAGGTTTTGTTGTAGTGTTGGCACTTTGCGATGAATAAGTGGGATTTGGGTTGCAGTTTGGGCACTTGGTCTCTAAAAGGTTCGCCATCACTGCAATAGAGGTTCTTTGTTAGAAAAAGGATCAGGGTGGCAAGTTTCACCAGGTCCTCCTGTAGCCCCAGTATGTACTAGCTCTGATGCTACTGTTAACTTTTCCACAGCCTTCTGGAACAGCCTTTTATAGGAATCAACAAAAATTGCTGCCCTTTCCCCTTCTTCCAGCACAAGCAGAGCTGTGTTAAGCACAAATCTTGGTTGGATCCATTAATAATAGATAATGATTAAAGCACTATTTGCTTTCTTGTAAATGCAGAGTATGCAGAGGAAATTCCCATTATGAAGCAGTTTCTAAAGTCTGACACAAAAAAGATGGAATCACAGGGATTTTTTTCAGAGCAGTTTTCAAAGTCTGTGTAATATTTTGGCAGTTTCATCTAAAATATGTACTTCATGTATGCAAAATTTCCTGTTCATCTTCTCTCAGGAGGCACACTGACAGAGGAACCAAAGACGCCTGTTGATAACTGGTCTGAAGAAGAAGTTTCAGTTTGGTTGTGCACACACAATTTACAAGACCTAGTTGACATTTTCAAAAGGAACAACATTGATGGTAAAGAACTGCTGAGTCTTACAAAAGAGAGCTTGGCAGATGATTTAAAAATTGGTAAGGCTGTTAACAATGACAAAAACCTTCACAATTTCTTTACACTTGTTTGCAGTATGTACAGGCAATGCCCAGGTTACGAACAAGTTCCGTTCCTGAGAAAACAGAAATGTGTCTTTAGGTCAAATTTGTATGCAAGTCAGATTATGCATAGTCAGCCCTCCTCATTCATGGCAGCTAGAGATACAGGACCCCTGTAGTCCACTTTGCATATGAAAGTGGGAAGATAATGAACATCTCTACCCCGCCCCCACCCCACACACACGCCTGAACTCACCAGTGCCGCCTTTTTGCAGCAAGGAAATGCTGGCAAGTTTTCCCTCTCTCGATGAATGGGGCAGGAAGGCATTCTTTGGATTTCTCCCTCTCTACCCTCTTGCTTCCTCCCTCTCTATGGTGATGATGATTTTCTGCAGTAATTTTTAAAAACTAATAGGATTTATGGCAGTTCTTAAGTACAGGTTGTTCATAACTCAGACATTCATAATTTGGGGACTGACTGTATTCTGATTTACTTTGAATATTATGGTTGCAAGATTCTTCCATTTGGTTTTTTCCTGTTTCTTAAGACAGCCATATGACAAAGTTCCCATTATCAAGGGATTTTTAAAAAGCAGTGGAGGTAGCCATATTGAACCATAAGAAAAAAATCCAAGTAGGACAATACCTTTATTAGAGCAACTAAAATGTCATATATTAGGGAAAAGCCTTCTGAGTTCTTCAGAATTCATCCAGCTAGAGTGAAAGGAAATCTAGTTTATCCAGCTAGAGTGAAAGGAAATCTGTATGATAATGAAGCTCTGCAGTCTGCCTTTTGGTGCAGTATCAATAATGTGATGAGTTACATGTTTCCTTAGTCTGGTAATTGTTACTTGATTTTCAACCTGGATCTAGATTTAGTCATATTTAGAGTACCCCCTCCCCCAGTCATGGATGCATAAATCAATGGCAACTTCTGAGAGTGGCAGAGAGGCCAAGAGCAGTGCCTCCAGGAAACCAGATTTCTCTCTCACTAGGCCAGTTTCCAGAGTCAGCCAAGGCAGAATGGTCCAAACCAAGACATCAGACTAAGTTGCATCCACCCTCTTCAGCAGGGATGGTCACATCAATAGAAGAGAATCAGTATCTCTGGTGGTAGTGTAGGCAGAGAAACTCCTGAAGGGAAGCTTCTGGGCAGCAGTGGCAGTTGAAGCTGACACTGGCAGAGGACCTTTCATAGATAATGACAGGAAAGCTTAAGCTCGCTCTGGCTAGTAATGCTCAGAAGAAGGCAACGATAAACCACTTCTTAATATTCTTACCTGGTATCTCCTAAAATGAAACAAGAAATAGCGCTAGAAGATGAGACTAGGAAAAGGAGAGAACAGATTTTTTAACATTCAAACACAGATTCAGCCTTCCACTAAAATGCCACCAGAAGCCAGTTGTCCAGGTATAGGTATACCTATACCTCATTGTAGTCCTTTCCTGGACTTTCTGGAGGCATAAATGGATGTAGCAGCCTTGTATCTTGTAAAAACTCTTGGGGCAGTAGGAAGCCCAGTAGGCAAAACTGAAAACCGGAAGGTCTCTCTTCTGACCTAGAAGTGAAGGGGTTGCATGGGAGAGCATACTGTTGCTACGTGGAAATAAGCACCCTTCAGATCTACTGCTGTGAACCAGTCTCCTTGTTGAAGTTGTGTCAGGTTGCCCTGCAACGTCACTCTCCAGAACTTCTTCAATAGAATGAAAGAATTAAGACCTCTCAGGTACAAGAATGGTCAGACCCTTCCATTTCACTTCAGTACCATGAAATAACGGGAAAAAAGCGCAGGTGAGATTGGGGGACATCGACTGTTCTGTGGCCTTCTTGGCTAGCAGAGAGACTATTTCCGCAAGCAAGGTTGCTGATGGAACCATAGTTCTTATGGTGCCAAGGGGTATGAGAGTGTCTGACCTGATCCTGTAATCTCTGTCCACAGTAGACAGAACTGAGATACCCAAGGTTATTGCTTCCTGGCAAGCAGGAAGAGAGACAAATGGTCCTCACACAAATTGAAGAATAAAAGGGGCTAGCCCAGGGAGATAGTCCACAGTTGGGGTGCCTTTGTCCTTGTCAGTTTTGACTGGGACTGTCTTTCTGCCTTGATAGCAGAGCAAATGTTAAGCTTCTTCCATTAGTGAAGGTCTGTCTACTGGGACTCAAGGCTGGGCCATCAAATGAACTGGGCCAAAGCCATTTATGTGGTCTTAAGGAGGGGGAGGCTGGTAGATCCTCATCTTTCTCATGGTGTTCAGGTCAAATCTATCTACTTGTTCATCCTTGCATCCAAGATCCTTTCCCTATCAAATGCCGGGAGTTTGATATGGGAGTGAACCCCTAAGAGAGATCAGGCGAGTGTAGACAAGCGTGCCTCCACAGTGCTACTGCTCTTATCATAGCCTCTGTGCCATGCTTACATTGGTGCCTTGCAATGTTAATTTGCGTTCTGGAGAGATGTACTGCCTCAGCCTAGAAAATGCTTGTGAGTTTGCTGCTCCGGTAAGTGGTCACACAGAGCTCCTAGCTTCTCCTACAGGAAAGGCTGGAACCTTGCATGGTAGCCTGGTAGTTGGCCACCTTGAGTCTCAAGGCTGAGATAGCTCAGATGTGCCTCCCCAAAGTGTCCCGCATCATACGTCATGGAGTGTCCTCAACATGGCTTTCTGATAGAATTCAGTTTGGGGTGTTGAAAAAGGAAGGCCACATCCTTCTCTGACAACTTGTAAATGCTTTCCAGCCATTTGGGCATTGGTGCCATTGTGGACAGAGCCTCCCAGGATTGCTGGATGAGCTATAGTGGAGTTTAGAGGAAGGGACTGGCAGTGGCTTCAATTCCTCCCTCTGCACGGCATCAGTAAGAGGGTCTAACACTCTTTGGCTGTATATGTTCAGAAAAATGACTTGTAGCGAAGGAGGGCTGGATCAGCATGGTGGCATAGCACTGGAGGCTCTGCGGATCCCTTGAAGTTGGATGGGTTGAGAAATCAGTGCTGGGGGTGTGGAGGCAGAGGTGGTGTTTTCTGGAAAGTTGGTGGCATGAAGAATTGCTCCTGCCTCCTGTAGAGTTTGGGCCAATAGGCAGGTTGTAGGCGAGGCTGTGGTGATGGTACCTCTCCCCCCGCACCCAGGATATAGAACCTACAGTAGGCTGCTGCGATCAAATAGGCAGATCCAATCCGAGATGGGAACAGTCACTTCAGTGGTTGGTCCCAAATGGTTTGGTGTGGAAATGTGCCAGCAATGGAGTGGCTGGTTGGCTTGGAGCCAGAGCTTGGAAGGGGGTTAGATTGGTGGCATATTTCAAATCTCTCCCTCCAATATCAAGGCAGAGATGGATTTGAGCCGTGGCATGGTTCCAGAGCCTCTTGAGTGGACAATTCTGTCGAAACTCTCTTAGCTGCACAATCTTTCCAACAACAGGCTCCATGCACAGAGTCCAAATCTATTTGCACAAACACCATGAGGAAAGGTGACGAAAAGGATTCTGTGAAGCCAACAATCTCTTTATTGCTGATACATATTTCAGGCAACCGATCAGATGACTGTACACATAGACATCAACAGATGGCCAGTATAGAAATCAAATAGACTGCATAATTGAAAGTTGTGAAGGATTTCACATATACCGGCTCAGTCATCAATTCAAACAGAGACTGCAGCCAAGAAGCATTGAGACTTGGAAAGGCAGCAGTGAAGGAACTAGAGAAGAGTATCCAGTGTAAGGATGCCTCACTGGGGACCAAGGCTGAGATCATCCAGACTGTTGTATGCCTGATCACTTTGGGTGTGAAAGTTGACAGTGAAAAATGCTAAAAGAAAAAAAAATGCATTTAAAACATGGTGCTGGAGGAGAGCTTTGCAAGTACCACAGACCACCAGAAAGAAGCAGAACAGATCAAATCAAGCCACAACTTTACCTGGAAACAAAAATGACAAAACTGAAACTGTTTTTACTTGGGCATATCATGAAAAAGCTAAAGAAGATAATAATGCTAGGAAAAATCAAAGGCAGAAGAAGAAAACCAGATGAGAGATGGATCAATTCTGAAAGGAAGCCACAGCCTTACGTTTGCAGGAACTGAGTAGGACTGTTAAGGGCAGGACAATTTGGAGGGTACACATTCATAGGAGATGACTTCATGACACAAACCAATGACAGAGAGCTGATCCATTGAGATCTATGGGCTGAGTCCAGCATCTGCCTTCTATGGATGGAAGGGTTCTGTTCATGGAAGCTGCCACTTTGGGGAGGTTCTCTCTACACATAAATTCAGCCCTTCTGTGTAGCAATATCAGAGAGCTGGAGAGGTGGCAAGGAGAGGACAAGGAAGTATGCTTCTAGTAGTTACTGTGTGTAAAGTTACAGATTAAAAAAATGAGTAGCCATCAGGTGGGATACATACAACAGCTTGAAAGTCATCTTAGGCTGATGTTTGTATTAGAACCAACTGGAATGTCACAAAGTCATGAGCATGCTTTGAACCCTTCCAGAACTATTCTACAGGCTCCGTATTAAGCAAATAGCTTCATGTGGAGAGAAAAGTGTTATAGTAAGTGCTAAAGAAGTCTGTAGTTTAGAGCAGCCTTAAGATGAAGTCCAAGGGAACTTGTACAAACCTCACTGAGATTATCCTCTGCTAAATGCTGGCAAGGTTTCATGCTGCACAATTTCTTATTTGAAGTTTGGGATACAAAACATTTAAAATATTTCATACTTCAGAAAATTGAATATCATTCTGTGCTAATAGCATGTGTCAGTATTTGAATGTCAGAGCCTAGCCAGAGCATGACTTTGCTTGTGTGCATGCTTGTACTTCTCGTTGTCTTCTTTCACAGCTTGGACAATGGAATACATGTGTAAGCTTATAGAAATCAATGAACTTAAAATGTGCCTGACCCTCTGGGATAGGGCTGTTACTATCCTTTTTCAAAATGAACTGGATTTAAGGATCCTTTTGCCTGGTGAAGTGGCTGTCTGCTCTCACTGGAGAGGCAGCAGCCGTGCTCATGGTGGGGCCCTACCACAAGCAACTACTTCACTGAGGAGTGAAGGCCAAGGCAGTCGCCTTGGGCAGCGGCTGAACAGTGCCTGTTTGGTGACTGTTTGGGTGCTGGGCTTTGGCAGGGGAAGAGAAGAGTTGCACAGTAGTTGCAATCGACTGCCATAGAGCTGGAGCAGCTTGTTTTTTTTCGTGCTTTTGTCATACTCATTTTAATTATGCTTCTGTGTAGTTTTGGGGATCAACGGGTACCCCAATTACCAGGGTCACAGGTAGGGTGCGGTATGGCAGTGGGGGATTAACAAACCAGCCAAGGAAGAGGGCTAGATACCTCACAGCTATCCCCTCTTCTGGTTCTTCCACCTACCGGATGATTCCTGGAAGCCTTACCACCTTGCCCTCAGCTCTGGTGCTGCTGCTGAATGGCAGGTCAGCCCAAAATAAGAAGACCTCCCTCATTCATGACTTGACTATGGATGAAGGGGCTGACCTGGCTTGTATCACTGAGACCTGGGTGGGTAATCTGGGAAGGGTCACCCTTTCAGCTGTGGCTCCTGGGCATTCCATACAGCACCAGCATCAACTTGAGGGCTGGGGAAGCGGGGAGGCCATGGCCTATAGGAATACAATCTCCTCCTCGGGACAGGTCTTGAGCTCTTGTATCTTGTGCTGGGTGCTTGAAACAGATTAGGGATTCTGCTGGTGGACTGCCCACCCCACTGCCCATCAGGTTCCCTGCTTGAGGTAATGGAGGTGGTCTTGAATCTGGTGTTGAGGATCCCCAGTATGATGGTTCTGGAGGATCTCGACCTCCATGCCAGGAATGCTTTATCTGGGGCTGCCATGACAACCATGGCTGTCTTAACATGTTATAAGCCTAACACATGTGAAAGGACACTCCTGATCGGCTTTTCTTTACTGGGCAGGAGGATAGTGATATTGGAGTGCAGCGGTTTAACATCAATTCCCTTGTCATGGTGAGATCCCTTCCTATTGAGGTTTAGACTTTGAGCTTCAGTAACTGAAGCCTGAGGATGTGGACAAGGTGCTTGATCAAGTCTGACCTGTGTGCTTGACCCTTGCTTGTCATGGCTTATTACAAGAATTAAGGAAGGGATTTGTAGCTTGGCCCAGGAGCCTGTACATGCTTCCTTGAGAGAGGGAGTGGTGCCAGTCTCCTTAGAAAGGTTGGAATTAAGCTACTCCTGGAAAAACCTATCCTATAGTTAACAACTATAGGCATGTGGCCAGCATTCCATTCCTGGGCAAGGAACGGAATGCTTGAGCAGGTGGTGGCTGAACAGCTCCAGACACTCTTGAATGAAACAGATTATCTAGCTCCATTTCAATCAGGACTGATTTTAGAACTGAAACAGGCTTGGTCATCCTGTGGGATGACCTTTGCCAGGAGAAAGACAAGGGCATTGCAATTCTGTTGATTTGCCTGGACTGCTCAGCAGCTTTCAATACCATTGACCTTGGTAACCTTGCAGATAGACTGACTGGGCTATGAGTAGGAGGTATGGCATTGCAGTGGCTCTGCTCCTGCTTGACCAGCCAATTCCCAAACATGGTGCTGGAAGATTATTCTTCAACGCCATGGCAGTGCTGTTAGTGGGTGGTTCGTCTGTCCAGTTGGGCGGTATTCAACCTATTCTGGATGAGGTTGCACTCTCCCTAAAGGACCAGGTTTGTAGTTTGGGGGTGCTCCTGGATCCAGAACTGGCACTTGAAACACTAGTGAACTCATGGTATGGAGCACCTTTTATCAGCTTAAGCTGATACACAACCTATAACCCTATTTGGACAGACAGAGCCTAGCTCCAGTAATCCATGTTCTAGTAACCTCTCATTAGGTTTATGTGGGGTGCCTTTGAAAATGATCTGGAGACTTCAACTGATCCAAAAGAGGGCAGCAAGATTGTAAATGGGAACTGGCTTGCGAGAACATATTACCCAATCCCCTTCCAGCTGCTCTGGCTGCCAGTTGAAGTCTGGGTCCAATTCAAAGTGCTAGTATTAACATTCAAAATCCAAACCAGCTTAGTGTCAGGTTACCTGAAGGAACACCTTGTTCTATAGGTGCCCTGGACCGTAGGTCATCTTTGGAGGTTCTTTAGAAACCCTTTCCAAAGTAAATAAATAGAGTGGCTACCAGGGGAAAGGGCCTTTTTTGGCTGTGGCACCTTGGCTATGGAATGAGCTCCCCAAAGAGGTGTTCCTGGTGCCTACTCTCTATTCTTTTCAGTGCTGGGTAAAACCTTTTTATTTTCCCAATATTTTAACAGTTAACTTTTTAACTTTAGTTTTAATATTATATTTTATCCTATACTGCTAGTATACCTCTGTCTTAGTTTGGTTGCAAATGCTGTCGTTTTATTGTCATATGGTTTTTTTCTCTTTCTTGTTTGTGTATTTTTAACTTTTGTTAACCTTCCAGAGAACTTCAGCTATAGGAGGGTATAAAAATGAAATAAAGTTTGCAAGCGCAGAACACACACTCTTCTGTCATTGCTTTCTGGGAATTGCTTTGTTTCTGTCCTCTTACGTTAGTTTTCTCTTCTCCCAGAAGCATTTAATTGAAGAGAGGGTGACCAGCAGGTGGCATTTCATTAGCCTGTTTGATTGTTTTTGACACCTCTTAGAAAGATGACTTTATTACCATGCAAATAGAACTAGCTTATTTTCCAAACTAATTGCCATGTAAGATGAACAACAGTGAAATTAGGACAGCAAAGCAAAGTACAGGATTTTGCATTCACTCATAGTCATGGCCATTACACAATAGGATTAAGAAAGGCTAATATAGCCACACTGGCTGCGGGCATTGCCGCCACCCCCAGTTACAACTGTTTCTGAAACATCACCAGGCTCTCAGGTGCTCCATAAACATTGGTCATGACCAGTCCTCTTTTGTGTTTAGTCTGCCTTTGAACAATCAGGTATCAGCCAATATAGTTGCAGGTCACTGAAGTAATTTGGGAACTAATTCAAGCTTCACGGGCAAGAATGCTATCTGAATTCTAAACAACAGTCTGTGCCACAGACTGAACATTTATCTTTAACTTTAGATGTCTTGGTGCTTATATTAACGTGGACAATATGTGTATTCCTTTCTAGAATCCTTAGGTCTCCGCAGTAAAGTGTTGCGAAAAATCAGTGAGCTGAGGACTGAAATGAACTCTGCCTGTGTCGGTATCCCTGATGAATTTCTGTGCCCCATAACAAGGGAGCTTATGAAGGAGCCAGTCATTGCAGCAGGTAGGTGTGCATAAAAATACATACTAGTTGTATTTTTATTCTGTAAATGTAATAGAAAATCTGTGCATAGGCCTAGCATTCAGTTGATTGACACCTTTGCTAGAAGCAGCAAGGGTCTGTCTTCATCTTCTGTTGTACAATCAAGCCCTGCCTACATACGGCAAGGCTTTGTGTGAAGGCATCCTGTACTGGATGCCCAAGCTTGAGGATGTACAGTGGTACCTTGGCTCATGAACTTAATCCGTTCCAGGACTCTGGTCATGACTCAAATTGGTCATGAGCCAAGTCAAATTTCCCCATAAGGTTCAATGTAAATAAGGTTATTCCATTCTGTAACTATTTTTTTTTTAAATCACAAAAATTTGAAGCTGGTGCGCTGAGGGGGGGAGACAGGCATGATCGCGGGCGCACTCAGGGGAGAGGCAGACGCACTCGGGGGGGAGACGGGTGTGATTGCTGGTGCATTAAGTGGGGAGGCAGGCGCGATCGTGGGCCTGCTTGGAGGAGAGGCAGGCGCGAACGCTGGCGGGCTGGGGGGAGGTGGGTGCGATTGTGGGGGCTGGGGTGAGGCAATCGCGGGCACACTGGGGAGGGAGGCGGGTGTGATTGTGGGTGTGCTCGGGGGGGGGGGAGGCAGGTGCAATTGCAATCGTTACTTGCAGAGTTCACGACCCGAGGCAAAATTTTTCAGACATTTCTGTTTGTGACCTGATTTGGTTGTGAACTGAGACGTTTGTGAGCCGAGGTACCACTGAAGTTCCCAGTGCTGCTTTAGGAACACTGCTCCACACCGAAATACAAAGTCTCCATTGGTGCTACCCAGTTTGGCTAATACCGCACCTCTCCATCAATCTTGTAATACAGGTGGGAGTGTTGGGCAATTTTGCATGTATTCTATACCCAGTTATCAGGACTGAAGCCTACATTGAAGAAGGCACATTGTGCAGATATTTACCCACAGGATTCATGAAAACAATGTAAAACACATTAAATTGAAATAACACAAGGAGCTGAGATGGTCCACACCTGGAGACAGATGGAATCCGCTGGATTTTGAATGCTTTGGGAGATCTTTGAATGCTCTGATTGGAGCATCTGTTGCAGCCCTGATTTCACTGTGGAATTGCGAGAGCCACAGGGCCACAGTTATGAGCACTCCTGTTCTGGCTTGCGCGACCTGGCAAGGCTTGGACATGGCTGCATCACTTTATTTCACCTCTTGCCCTTAGGATTTTCCTGCTAGTAGAGTTTGAAGAAGGGCCTCAACATTTGGCACCAATCCTGTCGTCTGAGGTAAATGCAGGCGGTGACCAGTGATAAGGCCTCTTGTTGGAATTGGCCTTTAGAATTTCCCCACTAGGAAAATACCTCCTTAGATTGCTCAATTTTTGTCCTGTGCTGGAATGCTGCTGCTTTGCGTTCCTTAATGTGTTTCCTTTATTTCTTATAAACTCTGACTTAAGATCAGCTAAGAAATGTTTTCAGTAATAATTTCCACTGAAAATAGAACACAGAACGCTATCATAGACAACTTTATTATGTTGTGCCAGTCTGTAGCCTGAAGGGCCTGATCACGCCTCATCTTGGAAGCTAAGCAGGGTCAGGCCTGGTTGGAATCTGGATGGGGGACTTCAATGTTGTGAACCACCCAGAGAGCTTCGGCTATGGGTGGTATAGAAATATAATTAATAATAATAAGAAAGCCTCTACAAGTATTATTAAGGCAAGTCCTTCAGTCTGCCTATCACACATGGCAACAGTTGTCGTTTGCAGAATTCCAAGTAATTTATTAACTCCCCAATTACTTTCCTCACATACAAGCCATAAAAGATAATGTAATACCTTGAAACTTCCTCGAGTTCTGCCATTGTTCCATTAGCTCTGTATCGTTCATGGACCAGCAGCAGCATGCTTTCATTTTAAACAGGAGTATTTGCAGCCTGACATTGCAAGGCTGGTAAGAGGTAGCTGCCATGTAAAGCACATGCCCTGCCACCAAGATACTGCCCTGCCCAAGTTGTATGACAAGATCATCAGACACTTATTATTTCAAGGGACCTGCCAGACAGAAGAGAAGGTATCAAGGAGGACAGAAACAGAAGGAAGCAAAGCTGGCAAAGTGTGGAAAAACTGATTCACTGACAGCTAGGCATTCAGGTCCTGAGTTGGTGTTGCTCGTTTACTCAAACTGATTCAGGATCCTACAACTCTGGAGCAGCTGGAGTAGGAGGACAGCTCAGAGAATCTGGTGTGCTACTTAGCTTGAGCAAAAGCCCTTTCTGCTAAAGTGAAGACACCTTTGGGTGCATGCTGCTGAGATTAATTTCTTCATCTTATTTCAAAAGGAAGATAGTGAAGGCAAACATGTGATTGTCAAGGGCTTTGTAAATCACTGAAGAAGTATTTTCATGCTTCTGTACAAAGTGTATGTGATTTAAGCAGAAGCAAGCAGTGGTTTTTACAAAAACTTGCAACGCAAATATTTTTCTTTTAAGCTGTTCTGACAGTTGTTAAAATGCAGCTTGTCCATTGCTATTTTCTACCTATTCACCTGTTTTATACATGAAAAGCAATGGACAGAAGGGCCCTTGCATAGCAGCTCTGCTCTGCCCCTTGATAGCTTTGTGATGAACTTTTAGAAACTAATTTTATAATATTAATATTTAAATAATAGGCACACTGAGAATCCTAGCATTCATTAAATAACTGCTTGGGAAAGGTGTGGGTGGGTGTATTTATCCACCACTGCTGTCTATCACCTTCTGAGTCTATGACTTTAAATTTCATAGAAATTATTTTTTTCCACCTGAGAAAAATAATTATATTGTTATGATAAATGCAGTTGTAAGCTAAGGTTCAGGGAATATTTGTTGCCTAGTTATCGATCTATCTATGGTTACCTGAAGGAGCGCTTACATCCATATATGCCCAGCCGCCCCCTGAGATCGGCAGGAGAGGCCCTTCTCCGGGAACCCTCCGTGAAAGAAATCAGGAGGGTGGGTACTCGGAGGAGGGCTTTCTCTGTGGTGGCGCCCAATCTATGGAATGCGCTCCCCAGAGAGGTCCGCCTGGCGCCGTCGTTATTTGGTGTTCGGCGCCAGGTGAAGACCTTTTTATTTAAGCAGCATTTTAACTGTTACTATTATTGAATTTTATCTGGCCAGGGCGGCTTATTTTATATTGTATGTATTTTATTTTAATGTTTATATTTTTAATTATAATTATTTAACTAATTGTTATAAGCCGCCCCGAGGCTTTGGCGAATGGGGCGGCATAAAAATGTTTAAATAAATAAATAAATAAATATCTTCAAATGTATATTTCTACAGCATGTCTACAGTGTTGCAGAGTACCATATGCAAATAATCTGTCCCTAGTCTGAGGCACTTGCTGTCCAGCAATAGAGACAATAGAGGGACACATTGATAAGAGGAGTTGGGGCCCTCTCCGCATTACTTTTACAGTGTGGCTTCGATATGGTATAGAGCTCTGATTGGCCATAGCTCCCTGCTGGATGCATACATGTGAGCAAACTCAGGCTTGCTTCTAAAGTGTGAAGTAACCCTGGAAAGAGAGCATAGGCATACATATGTGAATCAAAATAAATGTTTATTCTGCACCATGTTAGAAGTAGCTGTTTTATACAGCATAAAGTCACTGAGTATATTGTTCCAGGATGATACTATTGCAGCTTGCACCAATGATACCTAGCTCCATTGTGTAAGATTCTTTTAACTGAAGAAACAGCATCTTGACTTTGGCATCTAAAGCATATGTATATTCCTTCTAAACTATCTACATATCATTTTATGTTTTTCCCCTATAGAAAAGTGCATTTAAAGAAGGAAAATAGTACCATTATTAAAATACTATTAAACTGTTTATGTATATGTCTTCTACAGGGGTTTTTACTGATTTGCTAGCACCGAGAGAAACTGTGGTGATCTTACCATCTGTCAAATACATGCTGTAGCTTTTGGACCATCAATGCACCCACCCCCTAAAAAGCACTAACAAAAACAATCCCAGATCCCGAGGGTTTACCTTCCATGCATAGTACTAGTTCTTTGTTTGAACTAGTTACTTGTCATGGAACAACCTAGTCAAAATTTCTAGCTTTTTCAGGGTGAATGAGTGCTATTATTGGACTCAAAAATGGTTTCTTCCCGAACTATAATGTTTTCTGTTTGGAGGTCTAATAGGTTGCTGCATTGAGTCAGCCTGTTAAGACTTTTCCTGTCTGAATGGAAGTAAACTTGATGCATGTCATTTTGTTCTTCATTATTTTAAAGTGCTGTACACTAAGACATTGCTGCAATGTGGTGTACTGTTCAGATATTTTTTTAATAATGCAGTGTCTTAAAAGTGTGGTAGTACAAAAAATTGAGCTGATATCCCTGCATTCAGTGAAGTTTGTAATTCTCTCTTTAGATGGCTATTCCTATGAGAAGCAAGCAATGGAAAATTGGATCGTTAAGAAAAGGCATTCCAGTCCCATGACAAATCTCCCTCTTCAGAAACTTGTACTTATCCCAAACAGAAGTCTGAAAATGGCTATCAATCGCTGGTTAGAAACTCACCCAAAATACAATGAGCAGCTATCATCCTAAATATTTTTTTCAAATAGCAAAGAAGTTGAAGTAGGTAAATAAATTCAGTTATGAACTTGGTGCTAGTACCTTTCTTTTACTTACGTTAGCACTGTGTACATGGTGAGAACTGTATAATTTTAAGTACCTTTGAATTTGAATTTTAAAAAATTCAGATATCAATATACTTACGTAATTGCTATATTTGTTAAACTCATGTCTGAGTTTTACTGAATCATCTGAAGGCTGCAACCTATGTATTACCATCGAAATTGCCAAGGCTTGCTTCTGTGAACAACAGACATGCACAGGACTGCACTATGCCTCAGTCATTTGTAAGAACTTAAGAAATGCTGGATCATGCTTAGTACCAATGGAAAGTTCACTCATGTTTGCATTGCATTGAACAATTAAGTACCTTGACATTTGCATACCTAATGGGGAATTGTGGAAGGTTTTTTTTTTTTTTTTTAAAGATTGCCTTCCATAGAGACTTGTGCAAGTTAGTCATTATTGGAAAAACATGTATGCTTTAACAGTGAAATTTTGAGGACAAGAGAGAGGATGTTCACATCCTTTACAATTAGGCATATTGAGCCAAGTAGGACTTTCATTTATCGAATTCAGGCTGCAATGCTATAGCCACAATACTATCTCAGTGACCTCAGTGAGATTTACTCCTGAGCATGCACTCTTTGATTCTATGTGGTAGGGGATACCAGTGAGCAGTGAATCTCAGGATTCCTCTGGCTAGGAGCCCACTGACGTGCTTCTTTGTTACATTTGTTCCACAGGGCTACTTACTGATTTGACATTAGTGAGAGAGATTAGGTGGTGAATCAATATTTGACAGAGCATGGTCAAGGAACTAAATGACACACTTCTACACTACACTATGTGGAGAGATTAAATTAAATGAACACATCATCACCAATACTATTTCATGCCACTGTGGGGGCTTAATGATGCATGGATGGAAGATGCAACAAGCAATTCAGAGCAATTCTAACAACCAAGGGAAGTCAAAGCAACTAGCAAACCAAGGAGCTGATCATTAAATAGCGAATGACGTACCAGATGTATGTCATGAATTTGCTCACTTGAGCTCAAACAGTATTTTGTACAAACAGGAAGGTTTGTATAGCCCTCATTTTGAACTAACTCGGACTATAAAGTTGCATTGGATTTACCTTTTCAAGAGTTGTATCAGTACAAAATGTATAGCACTCAAAAAGAAACTATATTAATAATCTTTTTATTTCATATGGGAAAAATACAGTAGCTGTGCAAAAAATAGATCTACAGAACGAGAGAATAAAATAAGATTGTACAAATACCAAGATAAACAATAAATAAGCAAGAGAATAACAATTCCTTTCAAAATTGAAAATCCTTTATGGATTTTTTTTAAAAATCGTGCGAGAATGCTGTTATAATGTACACACATATTGTACACATGGGAATAATGGTTAAAGGGCAACAGAATACTCCAGCTTATATGACAACCCCAACCTTTATTATGTACAGGAATGTCCTCCCAAACTAGCCATCGCAAAAACCTCCTTGTCGTTTAAAAAAGCATTTCCCAACTGAAAAACTGGGGAAGTATCAGATGTTCCTAGAAAAGCAAATTACCCTACTTGTCCTTCAGTTGTTCACTGGGGTTCTGTGAAAACACTAGCAAGACTAACATTCCTCTGCTTTCTTCTCCATCCTGTACTGACTTTGCACCTCAAGAGGTGTTTAGATAAACTATGTAAAGTGCTGTTTATATGATGTTAACATGTCATAATATTACTCAGTGCAATTAACCAGGATGTTGAACAAAATGCATGCAAAGTCCTGTGTAATTTTCTCCCTGCCTTGCAATAGTTAAAGCCAACCTCAGTCACATGATGGCTACTCAAACAATTTGCACAAAGGTGATGGATTTCCTGAAATTACACCTGCATCGTTATTAACTCGGAAGAGTAGTACGAAATCTTCCCGATAAGAAAACATTCATGGACAGAGCTAGATGTTCTGTGGTTCCCACCAAAAATCTTGCTTGAATTAATACATTTTAAACAATAATATACATGGCTGTACAAAGTAAATTTACAGTGCAATCCAATATATGTTTACTCAGAAGTCACTGTGTTCAGTGGGATTTACTCCCAAGTAAGTGTGCACAGGAATACAGCCTTGTTTACCTTTTTCAAATCAGGCACACCTATTTAAATCTTCTCTTCCAAAGCTTAACATGAATGATGGAATGCTTCCACTGCATCAGCAAATAACTAAGTAGTGGCCATCCATCTCTTGATTAATACTAGTGGTCATCCTGGACAGCCTGATTAATGTTTGGAAAGTGGCAAGATGGATCAGGTCTTTGTTATATACTCCCTAGAGATTAATATCACTAACTTATATATCTCTATGCACTAAGTTTTATAACCAAGGAAACATGGTTCATCCCTATTAGTAGCTTTTGATAAAACAGCTAGTATTAATCACACATTTGATTCTACAAAAGATCGCTTTGGCTTTGTAGAAGTGATGTGACTTGAATGGATGTCTTTGCTAAGCTGAGAATGTTGTTTAGAGAGAACTTCCTGATACAAATGAGCCACTGGCTTAGCTAACCTGCTGTCTTGTGGGCTAGCAGATGCTTGGCACTTTAATTCTTCAAGTTCCTTAGACTGAGTTCCATTCTGGATACTCTCTCCCGGCATCACAAGGGAAGAAGAAGAGCAAGTTGCACCCTGCGTGCCAGAGATGTTTGACTGTTTGGCAGAGAACTGCTCAGAATTCAAGGACAGAGCTGCCCCAGCACTTTTGAGAAATCCTTCTGTAGCTTGGCCGTGCCAACTGCGATTTGATGGGTTTATCTGCTGCTGCTGGAACCGTACAGTTTTATCCATAATCCCCATGAAGGGAGTATTGCGAGGCCGGTGTTCTGCTGATCCACTCTGATTTTGGCTAGTCTTGGTTTCCTTCAGTCGCATGTCTGGACCTTGTCCCTTTACAGACTCAGAGAAGCTACTGCTTGAAGACAAGCTGCTTGTGGAACTGGACGGCACCATGCTGGCAGAAAGTGGGCCAGAACAGAGAGAACTTTGCTGCCTTAATTCACCAGTGCCTTGAGAAAGAGATGGGCTTGTTTTTTCCATGGTTGGAGGCGTGTGAACAGCTAGCCTCTCATGTGTTTTGGACTTACTCATAAAAGCGTGAGAAGATCCCCTTTCACTGTGTTGCAAGTAGGGAGCCTGGATAGTAGTCAGTCTTTCGCTGAATAATGCAGAGCTACTGCCTACAGTAATGCTTGCTGAGAGTGTGCCTGCCCCATCCAAATGTTGGCCTTTGTTGTTGCTTGGGTTCATTGGGTGTCTGGAGGGCACAGGGCTCGGAGGAAGATACTGAAGGGGCTGAGTCTTTGTGCCAGACTGAACAGATCCAGTTCTTGGCCCTGACTGGACAGAATTCAGATGCTGGTTTGTTTTTACGATCTGGGCTTGTTTTGTAGGTTGCATGGTTAAACCAGGCTCTCGCAGATATCTACTGCCTGCTCTGTTTGGGGGGGATACAGATCTAAATTTCTGCTGACTGCCTTCTTGAGGGTTTCTGTTGCAAGATGAAGCACCCTGAGAAAGCGGAGGCCTCGGCTCACATAAACCAGACTCATCTTCATGCAAAAATTCTTCTTCTTCTATCTCTTCCAGGCTGAAGTGATCCTGCACAAGAGCATCCCTCTCATTGTCAGAGTCATTGCTCTGTGGTGCCGGCTGAGGACATGGCTGCTTTTGTTGCTGTGTTCTCTGGAGCTGCTTGCACTCCTCTTCTACTCGAGCTAGTAACCTCTTTATTTCTTGGTTACCAGGGCACAACTTTATGGCTTCTCGCAGATCACAGAGGGCTGCGTTAAACTGCCTGAAGAAGGGAAAATGAGTGAAATAAATCTGGCACATTAACAATTGAACGGGTACATACCAACAGGCCAGTGTGGTAGCATGTTACATGTTGCTACATATCGCGTGTGCCTTTCTATCGGTCCCAAAGATCCTTAAAAGATACAATTCAGACAGCTTAGGAGACCAGGCACAGGGAGGCTTGGCTCAGATGATGCCGCATCCCACTGCCATGAAAATGCAAGCCCCGGCCCAGGATTGCGCTCCCACTCCAAGAGATCGAGCACCTGCACAGCCACAATCGCAATAGGGTAAGAAGTTACACATAACAATGTCTAAATTTTTAGCAGAGGTGAAAGCTTGCACCTACATGACCTTCTCCCACCATTTGCCTTCTTTTCTCTTAGCAAACTATACTAAGCCAAAGGGAGAAGGAGAGTTGTTGCAGGGCATTTAATATTCTGATAATACATAGAAGTGCTAGATACTAATTTTTATTTTCCCTTTCTGGCCTGAACTGACATTTATTTCAAAATAAACACATCATATAAAATTGTTTCTTTACTTCTGTCTAAAAATAGGACTTGGATAGCAGTAAAGTTACCATTTCTCCCAAAGACCATCCTATAGAAGGTGTCTTCAAAATTATCAATTCTTCAGTTGAAAACACTATCCTGGTACTCTAAGACTGGGATTAAACATAGCATAACTATAAACGTACTGACCATGGAATTGCCATTAAGTGAGAAATGGGCATAGCTTAGTACACAGACTGAAAAGTCCTCCTCCTGCTGTCAAACTATAATAGGGAGCAGGGATTGTGAAGAGTGTCTAATCTTATTTGAAGATAGGGCTTCTTCTTAAATTCTTACACATCCTGTGTAAATTTTACTACAAAGTCAATGTTTTCCCCATAGAAATTGTAATGTTCTATTCAATTGTAATTAAATTCATTCTGTATCTTGTTGTTCATCACTTAGAAAGCCCTATCAGATTATTCGGCAGCAAATAAGTAAGTAAGTAAGTAGATATAGATAGATAGATAGATAGATAGATAGATAGATAGATAGATAGATAGGGGCTGTCAGTACCTGCTGTTTCTCTTGGCTCTAGCTCTGGCATAATATGCTTCATAGGATGTCGGCTTGAGATCAAGTGCCTTGGTAGCAAACTCTTCTGCCATGCCAAAATCCTGCCAGAACCAAAGGAGCACAAGTGTTCAATCTTAACATGATTACAGAAATTACTACAATACACTGTACTACAGCAACTCTGCATGCAATTAGATGTTGCCCTTGTGGCCTCTTCTACTGTATGAATGTGTATTGCAAGCCAAGCTGACACCCCTTTATCCTTTCAAAGCACTTCTGTATCATGCTGCAGCTGGTTTAATTTGACTTTGATTCACACTTCTACATTATGTAGCAGTTTTAACTTCCTTACACGTATTGTTCTAAGGGGTTACTGCTCTAAATTGCTATGTGTTGCCTTTACGGCTTTTTAGCAAAGAGATGGCATATAAATAACAATAGCTAAATTAACATTGTTTTCACACATTTGTTTAAAAAATCATATCATTATGGAACCTTGTTACTGGGAAGTGACATGAGCACTCCCTAGCATGTCACCTGAACGGACATGGTCAGTCACAGGGTATTTGTCTACGATGTCCTCGTGCTCTGCAACAGGGGATAAATGCTTGGCTGAAGGAACTTACATTTGTTTTTCTGCGGCATCTTGACAGGTTTAGATATAAGGAAACTCTGAGCTCATTGAAAGCTTTCATTTCTTCTCCAAAACTCTCTCGAGGAAACTTCCGCAAAGCATACTGGTACCGCTGTGCTGCCTCCTTCATCTTTCCTTTCTGCAGGGTCAACAGCAAAAAAGGCTTGGCAATCTAGTTTGTAAAATGCTGTTTTCATCTTAAATTGACATTACATCAGAAGCCACTGCAAAGAAGACTTAAAAGAAGAATGCTGTATTGTATCTTAAAAAGGAGTAATATTTAAACAGATCTTTCACTAAGAAAATATTTATGTTGGATCATGCAGTCTAATGCCAAATGGTTCTTGCTATATACACATTGGATAAACACAATGTCTTAACTGGAATGTAAATTTTGAAGACAAATTGGATATAGGTTTACTTGTCAAAAATGCTATGTCTTAAAGCCTAACTGAGTATAGCCAGTGATCTGCAACATCATATGATATGGAACATGAGCTTCATAAATAAATGCTTTATGACAAAACTTGGTAATTTTGTATTGTTTTAGATCCACTCAAAATAATGGGAATGTCAATTCAATTTGGCCAACACTGTCATAGTAATGTGTGAAGCACTGATAGTGCATCAGAATTAATCGCACACATGCAATGGTG